GGCATATATTAGAAAGCCAACCAATAGCAGAAGCACGGCAGAGTCAAATAGAAATCAAATCTAATTTGAATGAGAGAGCTAGTATTCATTGAAAACACTCTATACAAAATGTTAGCTGCAGGATCTTTATTCTTCAGTGTTTGTATAGCTGTTTGACTTTCAGAGTGTGTAAATGCCAAGGAAAACATTATTTTCCTCGGTATATAACAGCAAAAGAACTTTTGCCCTTTATTCTACTTGCATGAATGCTTCCTTTCTTATATACCAAATCTACTATTTGAAATGTTCAACCAATTTCTGTAAAACACATCAACAAGAGGAAAATAATTCAACAATCATTGTAAATTCTGTTTCCAAAAGATAATGTACCTCTGTGTTAAAATTTGATGAGGAGAGTCCTTTACCGACAGTCAGCCAACCAGATCGAATATTGTGGTCTTCACCAAAGAGCTCAAGCCTTCTGCGGCCAAGAGCAAAATGCTCAATTATTCGATACATATCTTCTGGCTTTTGGGTTGAACCTACAGTCCAGTTGGCATGCAAATTTCAAACAATTTCTCATTCACACAATCTACATTGCAAAGTCATGGACACGAGCATACAATGAGACATGAAGTGTTTCAGGTTACAGCAAAATGGTGAGATAAATGCCCCTAATAGACTAATACACAATTCTTCCCCAGTTGTGATTTGAGTGCTGGTGCTATTTTTGTTACTGCACTTTGAATTTTGGCTATGAAAGGAGCAAAATGAAAAAGAAAAGAAGCACAAAACATAAATCTAAAGCCGATGCATCACACTTAACTTATGCACAGAACTGCAAGGAAAGGAGTAAAACGAAAGCAGCAGAGAGGGGATTGGAACTAATGGTGGTGCCATCATTCAATTTGATTTCCCAAGTCATGATATACAAAGAAATAGCATGTAAACATCAAATGGTCTGATGCAATCCAAGGTCATTAAAGTCAAAAATATATACAGGTACTAACCATAAGAAGGTTCCTCGGCAATAATTACATCAGTGTCAATGTTGGCATGGATTATATGACCGTCAGTACTGCGACGAACAGTTCCTTTTATACCCATCAGGCAGTGTTCCTTCAATGCAAAGGCGAGGTGAGAACAGTTTAGGAAACAATGCATGAATTTGCAGAATGCCAAAGATTATTCCATAGGTAAGACAAAATAGCAAAGCTCCACAATGTAGTGAAAATGCATATATTATAAACCTTTGAGTGCTGAAATATAGTATGAGAATCATGTCGTAAGCCTGGAGTTGCATTTGTTTTGTTGGTCTTCACCCAGCAAATATCCTCACACCTCCGGAAACCCCACTGCAGCACATAGAAGAGGCAACCAAAATATGGACTGAATAAAGACTATTAAAACTATAAATTTTATTAGTTCTGAAGGAGAAGACAAAGCCAAGTCATATTCTAACTAAATTTTAATCCTGTACCTTTTTTAGGCACTGACGGCCCTGCTCAAGGCCCACACCATCACCCACCCAAAGGAAGATAAACGAAGGTGTGTCAGCTATTGCCTATAAACATGAGGTAAATTCCAAGTCAATACAATGCTGCTATGCAAAAAAGAGTATATGAATAGAAAATATTAGCTCTGATATCCACCAACTACGTCAAAGGAGCCTTCATGACTCTATATGTTAATATGAAAGGTACAGCAACACTCCAGATGTTAGCATATAACACCCAGGAATTCAAACAGAGACTACTCATTTTTCTATTAGATTGCAACCAGGAAGGCAAAACTAACAGAATGCTACCTTTACAAGTAAAGGCAACAAAAAAGAAAGTGATGCAGAAATTTATTACCTCAATCTTAAGATTCATGATCTCTTCGAATGTCCAATACTCAATATGGTCGGCAACTCCAGGTGCACGGTGAACATATTCCTCCCAAGGGGGATCTATAAGAATAACATCAAACTTGGTTCCAAAGAAATCTGGAGACAGCTCCAATTCACGAAGGTCACACTTCATATACATGGGAGGAGAAGCAGATTTAGCTACAATCTCATCCTTTTTCTGTATAAGCTCCCTAAGCCTTGGATAGTCCTCCACAACATTAGTAAGCTCCAGCTCCCTGATAAAATTCTGTGGTCGCATACCAGTATCAACAAAATTTTGAGAATAATCATTCTGCTCTCCTCTGGAGGGAGCTTTACCAGGAGGACCACCAGTTCTAGAAGGAACCCAACCCCCAGATGTTCTTTCAGGTGGTGCTCCTCGTCCCGTGGGCCCTGCCACATTAAAGCCAGACAGAGATACATTTGAAGGTCCTCTTGCAGGTCCTGATTGATTAAAGTACATACCAGGGTTTGGCGAAGCTCCTATGTTAGGAGGAAACCTTGGGCCAGAAGGTCCAGGAGGAACAGGAGAGACACCAGGTGGAACACCTAGCATATTCATATCAACTGCTCGAGGACCAGACCAGACCACAGGAGGGGAAAACGGTGGAATGAAGACACTTGGAGAAATTGGAGGACCAGGAGCAGGTGACATACTAGGGTTAATTGGTTGCATAGGTCCAGGCGGTGGCATCCCCAGATGAGCAAAAGGTGATCCCATCATAGGCAATTGGAGACCAACCTGTTGATTGTCCCTCCCAGTAGGTCTTCCCCTTCCTCCTCTTCCTATCCTACTTCCTTTCACACCTTGTGAAGGAGCTCGGCCAAAAGTTCCTGGTTCCTGGTTTCCATAAGGTGGTTGAGACCCAGCAATAGAACTTTGGCCACCAATGCCACGGCCAGATACAGTAAGTTTCTGGCCTCTTCCTTTCCCTCCGCTGTAATCAAGTTCATCATTCCATAAATTTGGATCTCGCATTAAGTTATTGTCCTCTGCATATTTGTCCCTTGAATCTTCATCCAAGGGTCCAGAACCATATATATCAGTTCTCCTTCCCCTATTGTCTCGCATATATGCCCATTCTTCCTCATTCAGAGCTGGTTTCATTTCAGACTGCTGACCAACTTCGGCTCTCCGGGGAAAGTTGGATCCAGACTCAGCTCTTCCATAATCAAGAGGCTTGGTTTGGATCTCTATCACATCATAATTATCATTTGAAATTCCAAAATTTGATGATGTCTTCACAGCTTCACTTCGATTTACATCTTTTCTATTGCCTGACCGACCATGAGGCCTTTCATTTTCATTCCTCTCGCGACCATGCCTTGGCAAATCCCATTCTCTACCACGATCATACGCAATGTCCCCATCTTTGGAATCTTTATCATTATTACTCGATTGTCTCCTTTTCCAGTTTTCTTTTGATCCTTCCCGATCCCTTGTCCTGTCACTCCAGCTATCATCCCTACTTTTGGATCTGTCATCCCTTTCTAGTTCTCTCTGTTTGCGCTCCACGCTTCTTTCATAATCCATCTCAGAAAGCTCTGATTCTTGGTAACGCCTACTACTCCTCTCAGGGGTTCTAGACCTGTTTCTTTGCCCTACTTCTCTTGAACTTCTGTCCCTCATCCATGTCATTCCATCTTCATCCATATTTGAAGTCCTTTCTCGGCTTTCAGCAACATCTCGACCAGAGGGAGTTCTCTGTTGTCTGTGCTTCTCAGTTTTCTCCCTACCTGG